TTGGGATATTAATAATACCTTATCTGTGTAGGGGGCTATTTTGGAGTTATTTATTTGGTTACTTGGTAGGTATTTGTTACCTTGGTGTTAATATCTAGGATGTGCTCTTACTTTGGTGGACATTCTGATACCTGGGGTGGGAGGGGGAAGCTCATTGTTTCTTTAAGCTTCTTTGACATTTTCATCAATTCCTTTTTCTTATTGAATCTTGCTACTTTATGAATTTCTAGAAAGTATCCTATCATTATTTTAAGTGAAATTGTATTAGATCTACAAATTAACTTGAAAAATTTGGATTTTAAATGTTCCCATCAAAAAGTATGGCATAGCTCTCATTAATACCTGTTTTCTAAAGTTCTATGGTTTTCTTTTATATAAGAATTGCATATTTATCACTAAATTACTATCTAAGTCTTTTGTTTTTGTGTCTGCTCTTACTGTGGGTAATGTTTTTCTCTTCCACATTACGTTAATTTATCTGGTTATCACATTTCTACAGCAATGCTATTTTACCTTGGTTATAATTACTCTACCCATGTTTTCAATTCATTTTCAGTTTTTTAGTTTATTTTCAGGATTTTCCTTGATTTGTGAACATGCTGTAAATCAAAAGGATATTTTTGTCTCTTAGTTTCTCATGTTTATTCCTTTTGGTTCTTTATTCATGCCCCATTGAAATCTCAAGCATCTTTAACTTAGTATTAAGAAACTGGAGCATGTTGTTTCAAGCAAGAACCGAATTATTTTTTTACTGCTATTATTCAGAAGGTGCTTGCCCAAGGCCAAATTTTATTCTATTGGTTTTCTGTGTTCTTTTAAACATGGCCTTTGCCATGAATTAATTTGGATAAATTGTGAGAATTTAAGAGTACCATTATTGTATCCTAAGGCTAGGTAGCTTTTAGTGCATTCCCAGAGTGACCTGATTATAGCATATGAACTTCTACAACCAGCAGTGAAAGTGAGACATGAATAATCAGGGGGACAGTGACCATCTGTAGTGTGTGAAATTGTGGCTCAGCTCTGAATAATAACTTCAAATGGTTTGATGTATATTGAATAACATGATGGTGATAACAGCTATTATGAGTTAGACTCTGTACTATGCTTTTTGCATGAAATGACATTAAATTCTCACAGTAACTCCACAATAGTGGTCCTCATCTGAAGGCAGTCCCCCTCCCTGATCCAGGGATATTTGGTAATGTTTGGAGATATCTTTTGCTGTCATAATCCTGGGTGTGTGTGCTGCTAGTATCTAGAGGTAGAGGCCAGAAATGCAGCTAAACACTCTACAGTTTGAGGTAGAGTGTAAGGAGATGGGAAGTACAAAACAATGCTTTGGGACTTCCCAGGGCAGCTTTGATGCTGGTGAGAAACCTGATTTGATCATGAGCGGATCTTGAATGGTCTTCCTGAGCAGTCAGGTTAGATTTCTAGAGGGAACCTATTAGGAAAAGAAATACACAGAACGTTCTCTTGAGCTTGAAGGTAAGTTCTTCGTTCACTGACAGAAATACTTTAGAACTTAAAAGAGCATGATTAGATTGTGTCTCTCATGAGTTCTCTGATCTGGGTGGTGTGACCATTGGACATAGTTTCTTCATTTGTTTATACCTGGTAGTGTCTCAACTCAGCAAGGGCTTTGAGGACACGGAGTCCATATACTCTGGTCGTAGTGAGGGTAGAGGGCTTAAGGAGTGCCTATGAGCAGGCACACTTAAGTTGAATTGGCTTTGGATCTCACCTGTGCCTCACACCAATCTTGTATTCTTAGCAATTTATTAACTTTTGAGCCTCTGTTTCCTCAAAATAATACTATAATAATAGCATTGATTGGGTTGTTTGAAGATTAAATAAATTAATACATGTAAAGCACTTAGCAGACTGGTACACAGTAAGACCTGTTTAAGGGTTAGCCATTATTATCATCATTATCAATCTTCTTGTCCCTTTTCCTGATCTGTGTACACATACTGGCTTCAGCTGCTGAAAATGGTTTGTAGGATTTTCTTTGTGCCCTTTGTTGTCAGTGCCATGGGGAAGATCCATTCATTTTTTTTTTTTCAAGTAACCAACATATTCTGGGCATCTGCTACTCTACAGGGTCCCAGATACAGGGCTTCAGAGATGTCTAGAAACATAAGGCTTGATTCATTGGGCCAGATCAGAGCTCAGCAAGGCTGGCTAAGCACTACATAAGGGGCATATCTTAAAATGTATGTGTCCCCCACATGCTGTGTGAGAGGTAGCATGACAGGTGCAACAGCAAACTCAGGGGGCAATAGATTTGATTTCAGACATTCGTGCAGTCTCTTACCAAGCTATTGCTCACAACTTGTCTGAACCTCAGTTCATCACTTCTAAAATGGTAAGAATAAATCTACCTCACAGCATTATTGTGAATGAAATAGTGGAGCTTAGATATATGAGAATCTCTTGAGTACCTGGTAGGTGCTCAGTATTTGCTGTAACTACTGTAAATGTGCTGGTCATGAGTTTGTATTCCTCTGTGGAATCTGTTGAACTTTTTGTCCATGCCACCTAGGATGGCGATTTCCTACCAGAGACACTTATCTGTTAAATTGAAAGTTACATGGCCTCTGGAATTCTGTGGAACTGGCTACTGATCTCAATCTTGCAGCTGAGTAATTCTGTGATTCACTCTTCCCTTTAAAGCCTTCGACTTTTCATGTATAAAATGGACACAATAATGGCTCCTACTTTACATGGTTGTTCTGAAGATTAAATGAACCCTATAAACTGTACCTAATATGCATTGAGCTGACATCAAATGGTAGCTGTTATTTATCCTACAATCACATATGATAGGTTTAGAGCTTCCAGGTTGATGACTATCTTACACTTTTCATTTAATATTATTTTTTTGGATCATTATTCTTTTCTGAATTCATTTATCGTTGTGCCACTTTAGAAAAGTTTTAGTCCCATCTTTGTTAATAATCTCTAAGTGGTTTTCTTTAGCTACAAGCTAAAAGAAAATTGTATAAAGAATTTATACAATTTTGTGTTCTGTATTTTTTAGTTAATGGTGTCTGTGTTTCATAAACATTGTTATAATGACTGCATAATATATTGCTGAGTAGATGTGCCATAATTTAATCATTTCCCTATTGCTGTGAATTAAGTTGCTTTCCCATATTTTGTAATTATAATGTTTCAATGAATGAATGAGTTTCATGTATATAGCTTTTTGATGTTTTAAATTTGGTTCCCTAGGATGAATTCCCAGGAATCATACTTCATCATAGGGGATAAGCATAACTTTCTGAACACACATTGCCAAACTGCTTTCCCAAAGGGCCCAACTGATTTATGCTTCCATTTTCATTATTTTATAAACTTCATTCTCTTACCCAACAAGCACTTTTAAAGAAGCCTTTATTATGTGACAGGCTTAATGAGAAGAAAGTGACACTAGGGGAGAAGTTCCTATATGGATGGGGTCCTGTTGTACCAAGTACTGATAAAGGCACACAGTACCTAAGGACTCTGAGGAGGGACTTCAGCTCAGCTTCTGGAGAAGTTTATTTTCATAAGAGTCAGTGTCTGTGTTCTTTGACAGAAAGGAAATGGCTTTGTTTTTGGAGGTGTAATTAACAGATAAAAGTTCTATATATTTAAGGCACCCAATGGGATGTTTTGATACATGTATACATCACCTTAAAAATGAGTATAAAAGGGAGACATTCATGATGAAGAAAAAAGAGAAAAGGCTAAATGCCCTTTGCAAACCTGTGTGTTACTATCTCTTTGGGATTATTTACAGAAGCATTTAGCAAGACCAGCCTTATCTTTGGTCTTAGGGACCCCATTGTCAGCATGTTTTCTTCCAGAGAGGGATACACTTGCTTTTTTGACTTTCCTGATGTGCTATGCACACTATTCTTTGTAGTTTTACAGAAATAGTTTTTTTATTCTTTTTGGTGCTACTGGGGTTTGAATTTAGGACTTCATGTTGCAAAGCAGGTGATGTGCCACTTGTACCACACCTCCAGTCCATTTTGCTCTGGTTACTTTGGAGTTAGGGTCTCTTGAACTGTTTGCCCAGGCTGGCCTTGAACCACTATCCTCCTGATCTCAGCCTCCCAGGTAGCTAGGATTACAGGGTGTGCCACTAGCACCCAGCTGTTTTTTTTTTTTCTCCATAAGTAAGTAATACATGCATGATATGGAAAATTTAGAAAACAGGAATGTATAAAAAAAAAGTCACCCATGTTCTTATCACCCCAGAATGTTCACAGTTATTATCTTGTTGCATTTCCTTCAAAAAAGAAGATGTAAAAATGAGTAATGTGGGGGCAGACCAAAGGTCTTAGGAAATTAAAAGCTAATTATTTAAGCTAATTATGTAAAGCTAATTATTTAAGCTAGCAAAAACCAAACAACAAATAATAAACTAAATAAAACACCCCCTCCCCCAAGTACCAGTAATTGTGGAAGGTTAAATTTTGATCTTTTCATAAAATGGAGTATCAAGTGGCCATTGAAGATCACATTGTAAGAGTGATCTTCACTCCTACTGTAATGGGAAGTGCTCTCAGTGTGATGTTAAGATTATGGTGAGGAAGTTTGGTGATGCAAACAGATGCTTTCAGGGTCCAGGGAGATGTGATAGAAGGAGCATGCATGGAGCAGGCTGGGCTCTGGGAGCCCAGGAGAAGGACTTTGTGCTCAGGCTGAGATTTAGTGAAGGACATTATGCCTGGTTGACTTCTGAAGGCTGAGAAGAAGTGAGCTTGATGAAGCATGCAGAGAGGCACCTTCTCTGACTTAAAGATGGTACACGGGCACGGAATGGTATGTTGCAGTGTGAGAAGTGCAAACAGTCCAAGGTTATTAAAGCTCAGAAAGTGGTGAGAGAGGCTAGAGAAGTCTATCAATTATTAGATGAATTTTTTTGTGGATTTCCCAGAGCTAATAGCATTGGGTACCATGTTGCTTTTAAATTCTGACTGCTCTGTCTTGTTTCTTATTAGTGTCAGCTGTTGCTGGAAGTGGCCTGGCCTCTATTTATCTTCTTTATCCTGATTTCTGTTCGGCTGAGCTACCCGCCCTATGAACAACATGAGTGTAAGTATTTGTGGATCATGTGTAAGTATTTGATCATGAGTGTAAGTATTTGAGACTTACTGCTGGCAAGTGAAAGCCAGGTGGTGAATATGGGCTAAATTTACCTTTTCCAAAGATGCTGTCTTTAGGAAACATCACAAATGGTTTGGGACAAAACACATAGGCATCTAATTTCTTGATAAGGTACGAACTCAGAAGACTATTTTCAGTCCTAGTGACTGGTGATAATCATAATGATAACAGTAGCTAACATCTATTTCACATGTTTTAAATCATGAAAATAGAATAACCTTACTGAGCGTTCAGAAAGTGGTGATTTAAAAAGATCTTAAAGCAATGATTTAATACTACTATTATCTGGTCCCTGATGGTCTTTTTCTATATGTGTTGTGTCTTAAATCACACAGTTGAAAATCCTGGAACCCATGAAACATCTCAGTTTGAATAATATTATTTCATTTGATCCTTGATAGTTTTGTATAATAGATTGTATTATCATTTGCTCTGATTTTTTGAGAAGTAAATTGGGGCTTACACAAGTGCAGCAACTTGCCTAAGGCCCTACATCTAGTAAAGATAATAGAGGTGGGAATCAAACTCAGATCATCTGGCTCTCAAGCATATATTTTGATAATGACCTTTACAGTAAGTATCAAAATGCAGTAGTGATGAGGAACCTAAAGTTTTCTAGGTTTGAATTCTGAGGACTTCAGCATTCATTTGGCATGTCACCTCAGGCAATTGACTTTACCTTCTTCTTCTTCTTCTTTTTTTTTTTTTTTTTAAAGGGAATAATAATACCTATCTTATATTATTGCTGCCAGTATTATTCTATAGTCTTTCTCATACGGCTGGGCTTGGTGGATGGATTGATACTACAGAAATGTCCAAAACTAAAGGACCAGCATTTATGTAGGAAATATAACTGGACCTCAATTCACTGTCCCAGACTTTTCTTACCCCTTATCAACTCCACCGACATCAGACCCCAAGGACTTACAGATTCTGTTTTTTCACGAAAACAATGGGGCCGATGCCTCATTGTGTTTCTTGGTCTGGTCTCCGTAGCATGTAGCAGTTATTTACATGCTAATTTGCTAATATACATCATACATACATATTCAAGTTACATATATTCACAAAATCTCAAAAACATTCCCCCAGACAAGATTTTGTGATTTCACCGAAAAGGAATGGAGTATATAATGAAGTCTGTACTTGATTTATGAGCCTGTGAGGTAATTCTGCTTTCTGTTTTGGAATCTCAAAGAGATTTTGTTGATTGAATAGCAAATGCATATTTGATTTTATTTAAACATTATGCTGACATGCACAGCAGTGTATGTCTTAGGGCACACTCAGCGTTTTCATCCCCTAAGCTATTTTCTTTCTGGGGTGATCACAAGCAAGCCAGGTTGTGTAGTAGAAATAGTACAGACTGGCATCAGACAGATTGAGGTTTGTTTGGATATTGGCTCTGTCTTGCACCAGGGTTGTGATTTTGGGCATGTTGTCGAATTCTGACCTAAATTCATCTAACTCCACACCATAAATTTTCAGAAGTGTCCTGAAATTCTAGTATGTATTGAAGGCAGATAAAACTTTTCCCATCCATATGTATTTCTTTCAGATTTACCTTCTGTTCTCACCCTTTTTAGGGACCTAGTTGGAAGAGCAGAGTTGAAAGCTAAGGTAAAGCTTTCAGAGTTATCTCCTCCTTGGGAACAAAGGATTGCTGTAAAAGTCTTCCCCATAAATCTTCCCTCATTCACCCAGAGTCATCAAGGTCCTAGTAACTTCCTTGGCTCCTGGAAATCCATTATGCTATATGATTATCATCCTGTGTTCCCAATACCTAGCCCTCATCCTGCTTTTGTTGGCAAATCCCAGTGTACAAGGAAGGGTCTTTGCCTCCTTCACTGAAGGAGCGCCTGAAATAACTTCACCATCACTGCCCTGTACTGCCTTTGACCTATACTACCTTACCCTTAGTGCCAGTGTCTCTGGGATTTGAAAGAGGAATCCCTTGGTCCTTGGAGTATTTGGTTAGGTTACATAAATCTGAATGAGGAACAGTTTATTAGGCAAGGGGCTGTGTTTGGTTTTCCTTGAACTATTAACAGGGAGATAAAGAGATTAACTGAGTAAATGTTCACTAGGCCAAGAGTGGCCACAGGGATCCTACATTGTCACATCCTTGCTTTGGATAGTGCCTGTCTGGGTGAAGTACGGATGGAAGAAAAAGGTAGAAGGGCCCCAATACTGAGATGCGTTGGTGTAACTTTGGGGGAGTATCTGTAAGCACATCTGTATGAAAAGAGAAGGATGAATAAAACAAGATTCCTACTTTGAAGGAAAGTGGTAGTGGCGAGATAGAAGCGGTGTTCTAATTGGACAGTAACAGAGGAAGTACTATCACAGGCTAACTACCACAGTGCTTCCAAAATCCTAACAGGACCATTTGCTGAGCCTTTATTCTATGGTAGGCACTCTGTGAAAGTGCTCTGCCTGTAGACCTTGTATAATACTTACCACATGAATTTTTATCACCATTTTGCAGATGAGAAAACTGAGGGTTAGGAGGTCAGTCAGTGACTTGGCAAGTTTCAGGGACTAGATGTGAATCCCAGATGGTCTGACCCCAAAGTCTGTGAAGACTTTGCTAGAGCTGTGATTCTTTTTTTTTCTTTTCATTTTTAAAAATTATTTTTTATTAGTGTATGTTAATTGTACAAAGTACCTGTTATCATTTGGGGCAGAGGTGATGAGAATTGAACCTAAGGCCTTGGGAATACTAAGCCTGTACTCCCAGCTACTTGGAAAGCTGAGGCAATAAGATTACTGGAGCCCAGGAGTTCAAAACCAGCCTGGGCAATATATAGAGCTGTGATTCGTAATGGTTGTAACTCTGGGGCCACAGATAACCGTGAGAATATGGTGAAAGTTGGAGTCATGGCCTTTCTGTCCCAACATGAACAGGCCCTCAGGTTAAGAGCCCCTGATCTAAAGTGCATTTATCTCGATCCACATAAGTAGCACCTGTGGAAGACTGCCACAAACCAATCTGTGCCTTTGAAGCCTCTGACCTCGCCTAGACATGCCCAATCATCCTGTTTGTAAGAAACTTCCATAATGAAGGAAGAGGAGGGTGAGGAGCTGACTTAGTGGGTGGGGCCTCATTTCATGAGTGACAAAACAACAACAAAATAAATGTAGCTTCATGAATGGCATCTGACCCCATCTCAGCATGTTTTTGAGGTGCCCTTGAAGAGCTTATGAGCTGTCAAGGAATTGAAACTCATACTCATTTGGCAAACTGAGGCAAGAACCAGAAGGGCTTGAGAAGAGTGAGGTTACAAAGGAGGCCACAGATGTAAGGAAGGGGCTTAGATTGAGATGACTGGAGATGCACATTCTATTCCCAGGTGACCCTGCTCACTCCCTATGTATTCTTCATTGGCCACTTTATCTTGCCAGAGTTTTCTCTTTAGAGTGAGAGGGAATTGGATTAGGTCATCCTCAAGACCCCGTGTGTCTCTGAGAGGTGAGGCTCCCAGTAGAAGATGAGTTGTTGGTGATCAAGCACTTTCTGTGCTTAGTCTAGTCTACCCCCATCATTACCTCCCCGAGGTTGGTGTCATGAACCCTACTCTACAGGTGATGCTTGTAGAGTAAGTAGATTAAGAGTGATTATCTGATGTCAGGTTTCTAACTCAGGGTCAGGAGGAGGCAGGTTTGTAGGATGTGGAGAATGAGAGAGAGAGAGAGAGAGATTTAGAATGAAGCATTGTGTGGGTGAAATTTCAAAATTGCTTCAAAGAATTAACATTTCTCCCTGTGTTTTTATTCTCAATTTCAATAGGCCACTTTCCAAATAAAGCCATGCCCTCTGCAGGAACGCTTCCTTGGGTTCAGGGGATTATCTGTAATGCCAACAACCCCTGTTTCCGTTATCCGACTCCTGGTGAGGCTCCTGGTGTTGTTGGAAACTTTAACAAGTCCATGTAAGTACCAGATCAGGTTTTCTTTTCCAAACTTGCCAGTTAACACTTATCCTTCCCTTCTTGGAAAAGCTTTTGTGAAAAAGTATGGAGAATGAGGAGAGGGAGAATTGCCATCAGTACTTAAGACCTTGGGTGGGATGATTTGTGGCCAAAAGCTGACTGCAAGTTGTACCTCCAAAAACTGGGAAGAGAGACAGTACACCAGCTCCATATGACAATTTGTCCACTCCTTCAGCAAGTGTATTGTGCACATCTGAAGTGGCTGGTTCTAGGAGTTGGGGTCTGAGGGAGGGTACAAAGATACACACTAGAAGGGTCCCAGCCTTCCAATTGCTTATAGCCATGCTAGGAGAGTTCTGTCCTCTGCCCTGAGATCATGGCTCTGACCTCACTGCTATCATGTAGGTATTTCTTCTGTGGTGGGAGCTCCCTGAGAACAGGTTGCTGCTTTTTACATTTGGATTCCCAGTTCCTGGCTTCAGTGTTCTTTCTTTCTCAAAGTTCAGTGTTCAACTTTCTTAAAGTGGGAGAGACAGTTGGCCTAACCAGGACTTTTCTGCTTTTCTTATACCCTTTCCAGTGTGTCTCGCCTGTTCTCAGATGCTAAGAGGCTTCTTTTATACAGCTACAAAGACACCAGTATGAAGGACATGCATAAAGTTCTGAGAACATTACGGCAAATGAAGGATTCTGGCTCAAGTAAGCAAAAGCTTTCTGTGCATGCATTTGGAAGTGAATATTGTCCTGCTCTGGAGGTCTGGGGCTTGTCCCTTTAGCTCTTCCCTAAGGGATTTTCTCTTGGTGGCTGGGAGGTTGGGCCTCTCTGCTGTAGAGCCTCTCTGAAGGAAAAACTGAAAACAAAATGAGAGAAGCTGGTTGCAAAGGACAGTGAGTGCGTTGGCTTATGGGGAGACAGGGAAAAAAAAATCCCCAGACAGGAATGGCATAGGTTTGTTGTTAGAGATAGCTATCGGTGCAGATTGCTGCTAACTGCATTTTTTTTTTGAGTTGGTCAAATGGTTGCCATGAATAGACAAATTTATATACAAAAGATACTTCTGTACCTAGAAGTTGTAACTTGATATAGGTAAGTGAAAGTTAAGCTTTATTTTTAAAAGAAAAATGGAATTTATCTTCTCCTTGGTCATTGGAGTTAGACTGATGGGCACTTGAAGTCTGATCTTTCAAAAGTGAAATCTTTACCTCTGATCTGATAAGTGCCAGGCAGTTTACTGTGTGCCACTGAGGAGGAAGCAGGCAGTTTGCTGATGGAAGCATTGATTAAACAGGTCATGGAGCAATGTCCCAGGCAGTGATTTGCCTAGAGAGCAGAGGCTGGTGGGAGTGGTCCACTATATGTAGGCAAGAATGGCACACACAATCTAGAGAATTTAGAAGCAACCAGAAAGCCTACTGAAAGTTGGCCTGCTTTTTGTTATCACTGTGTGCTGGTAGTTCTAAATAGTGTCAGTGATTAATTACTCCTCCTCAGCACTGGCCAAATTCTGCCACTGCTCCAGGGAAGTACTTGTACTCAGTTTGGCCTTTGAGGAGGGAATGGAGTAGGTTGGCCTCTTCTGAAAGGCCTCCTACACTGTGGTTCATTGGCCAAAAAAAAGAAATGGTGTAAAGTACTAGAGAATAAGCCCGACTCGGATTGGAGCTTTTTCTTTGGCAGACAAACAGTGCTTTCTTGGGCAGGAAGAGAGGCAGAGGGCAATGTGGGACTCCTTGACAAAGGGAAGCAGAGCTTTCAGGTCACTGGTCAAATCCTCAGCCTTTACTGATCTGCAGGTCCCCTGTCTGATAGATAAGAGACAGAGTTGTGTTATTTCTTCTACTACCCAGAGACAGTGTGACACAGAGGAAAGAAACCACTAGCGTATATTACTTTGTAGCTACGTGATTTTGTGAATCAGTTTCTAAGCCTGTGTTGGGACATGTCTTCTTATCTGTAAAATGGGGATAACAGGATTATCTAGGACTATTATGAGGAATAAAGGAGATAAAAACTTTTAATTGCTTAAAAACAGCACTTGGCACCTAAAAAACACTTAGTAAATATGGGCTATGATTACATTGGAGTATTAACAGCCAGACCATTTAACCTTCTTTAGTCATGATTTCCTTAGTTATAAAATAATAGATAACTCATAATATAAAATGTAAGACCTCAGACTAGGGAGGGTGTGGGTCAAGCAGTAGCGCAGTTACTTGCCAAGCATGAGGCCCTGAGTTCAATCCCCAGTGCCACCAAAAAACCTCCTGAATTAAAACCCAACACAGTGTCTGGTACATAGTAGATATTCAATAAATGGGAGTCAGCATTATTCTTCTCTGACAGTGATGCATTTCTGACTATTTGGGCTTACTTTTCTCTCTTGACTTGGTAAAATAGACTGGCTGATGGGAGCAGATGTCTAGCAGAGTTTTAGATTCTAGTGGAGGCAGCCTGAGAAACGAAGTATTTTTCTTCTTTGAGAAACTGGAGATGTGAATTAGGATGAGAAGAGATGCCATCCTTATGTATGCAGTTCTGCAGAGGGAAGGGCTCCTCCAATTTTGACTGTCCCCTATGGTCCTGTATCTAGTTTTATTTTGTTTTGCCATGCTGTGGATCAGACCCAAGGCCTCATGCATGCTAGGCATGTATTCTACTACTAACTGCATCCCCAGCAGCAGCTAGTTCTTAAATTCCTACCATCTTCCTGTGCTTATTTCACAACACAAAGTCAGGTCTCAGTTCTAGAAGGAAAAGCACATAAACTGCTACTTCTTAGAGGAAATCAATAATGTTTTGCTGATTTTGAATAGCACCCGATACATTTCAGAGAGAATCCAAGACTGGCTATGTCAACCTTGATCTCTGTTTAGAGACCTGCATTTATTTGATCTGATATCCTGCTCCCGGCACACGATGGGCGTAGTTTTCTTGTATTGTCTCTCTCGGGGCTAGAAGGATCATTGGTGCTGTTATGGTCCAGAGTGCTGCCCTTATTCACGGTCTATCATATACCACCTCAGCTTTTCACAAGGCAGCTCATTTTGGGTGTTAATAGCTCTGATTGTCAGAAAATACTCACTATCGTGCCATACCGTCTAGGGAACAAGTTTTCCTTGAAAACCTGAAGGCAGCTCTTTTGTCTTTTCCCTCTCTTCTTGGAGACTGGTTTTTCTAGGTGTAATGTCATCCATTCTTCTTATGGAATGCTCTTCCTTACAACTTCTGCCTCTCCTTTGATGTGTCTCAGTGTGTTTACGTCATTCTTGAAGTTTACCAGAAATTACAAAAATATTCTAGTGTGGAGGAAGCAAGGGACTTGCTCTGAGCACTGTATTTCTCTTCATGCAGTCTGAGATTGCATTAGGCTTTTTTGGCATTCACATCACCCTGTTGACTCATATTCCATGTGCAGTCAACCAAAGTTGCAGATTCTTTTAAATACACAGAATTGCAAGTGACTTGTTCTTTTAATTGTGCCATCACTGTTTGAACTGAAGAGAAAATACCTACTTCTTTTCTAATTTACATTTTTAGATTCTCTTTACCATTTATCCTACCAAAACCATTTGAGATTCTGATTCTGCCATGCTAAAATTATACCTACTGTTTGTTATTTCCTGTCACCTAGAAATTTAATGAATAACGCTCTTAGTTCTCATCCAAGTCATTGATAACTGTAAGACCTAGGCTTGAGGCTTCAATTAGTTCCCTGGAGACCATCTGCTCTTGGATACTACCCCTCAGGATCTTAGGGAACTATCAGCCTGTGTGGTCAGTGCTGATGCCACCAGGTCCTGCTTTTGTGATTCATTTGGAGAATTTAGCTTTGTCTTTCTTCAACTTGCATCTGATAAATCCATTGGACCATTCACAGGTGATTTGGGAATGTAGGAATCTACTCAAATGCTCTCTTATAGTCTCATGGTTACCTGGGCTAGAGCATCATTTTATTCCACTTATCAGTAGAGACTTTAGAGGCTGTTTAGTTCATTTATAGATAAATGGGTTGACTGATTTAATCATTCAGCCACATGCCAAACATTATTCTAGGTGCCGAGACACAGAGATGTATAAAACAATATGGAACCTCTAGTGTAAAGAATAATCTGATCCTAAAAGTGAAGATAACTTCCCAAAGTTTTTTTTTTTTTTGTGGTACTGGGTTTTGAACTCAGGGCCTTCACCTTTGAGCCACTCCACTAACCCTATTTTTGTGACGGGCTTTTCAGGATAGGTTCTTGTGAACTATTTGCCCAGGCTGGCTTCAAACCATGATCCTCCTGATCTCTGCCTCCTGAGTAGTTAGGATTATAGGTGTGAGCCACTGGTGCCCAGCAATTCCCTAAGTTTGTACAGCCCTGGGAGGGATATTTGAGTGATAGAACACAGCCAACATCCACCGTCCCCACATTCTTCTTCTACAGCACCATCAATTTGGAAGTCCTCCCAAGTTTTTTTTTTTTTTTTTATGTGGTATGGGGACTTGTTAAGCTAGTGCTTTACCGCTTGAGCCACTCCTCCAGCCCTTTTCTGTGTTGGGTATTTCGAGATAGGGTCTTGTGAACTATTTGGCTGGGCTGGCTTCTATCTGCAATCCTCTTGATCTCTGTCCCCTGAGTAGATAGGATAATAGGCATGAGCCACAGGTGCCTGTTCCAGTTTTAAGAATTAAGTTACAAGCAAATCTTTTAATTTTCCTTGAGCCATCCTAATGAGAAACCCAAGGTATTTACCAAATTTTCTCATCACCAGAACTTTCTGGTTATTGTAATTGTTTTCTTCCAAATGAGAGTACACTCTCACAGGATGAGTGATGGCTAAATTAATTTTTGGGAGTCAGTATGAAGAGCATTCTTTCTTAAGTTTTTATCAGCTAAAAAAGGTAATATAAAAATTACATAAATTCTGAGAAACCCTAGAAAAAGTGATATACCTACATTCTGACTCCCTGAATACAAAGATCAATGTCTTTGAGTTTTGTGTGATATCTGAGATGATTTCAGGCAGTACACAGATGACAACTTTTACTTTTAACCCATATCAAGTTGCACTTTCATGAATATTATTGGTTAAGAGGATGTTAAATAGGAAAAAATTAATTTGAAGAAAGCAAATCTTTTATGTGGGTATGGTAAAATTTGTGATAGTAACATAAATTACTAAAGATTTGAAAATGTTGGTATAGGAGAAGGAGTTTGGAACTTTGTATTAAGATTATTTTGGTAACAAATTCAAGCTCTTGCCCTCATTAAGTATAACCCCTAGGCAAGTTTTGATTCTTTTTGGCTCTCAGTTTACCCAAAATACGGAGATTATCTGCCCTGAGGGTCGTTGAACATGAGCAGTAAATGAGATGATTTCCTTGGGTACCTGGGTGAGCTCCCAGTGCATAATTACTGCACAGTAAGTCTGAGCTATTTTACTTCCCTGAAGTTCCGGGCTGTTTGGACTTTGCCAGTTTGTTCATCCTCTCTGGGTCTCAATTTTCCTTGTCTCAAAATTGAGAATTGTCAGAACAACCCAAAGATGTTTCATCTTGGAAACTTTGCTGGTACTTGGATGAGGGACACCTGGGACAAACTGGTCATGTGGGCTGTCCTTTAGACCATAGCCATTTTGTAACAGGCCTGGGCCTTGTTCGCAGTTCTATCCCAACCAGCAGCACATGCTAAGCAATCAGTGCATCTTTGTGGGT